AATGAGATACGAACCACCACAAGGCTGTCATTAATAATATTATTTGGATCGAGAACCACTTCGCAGCGTTTCCAAGCTGGCAAAGTGCTTAATAAAAACAATCTAAGCCGCCATGATTGAGGAAAGATGTAGTGGTTTCGTAGTGGACACGTAAATGCTTGATAAATCCTGTCAAATAGAAACGCTGACAAATTGTCTCGATCAGAGAGGTGGGAACAGACATGGTGGCAACCACCTAGTCGCTAAAGGTCATAATTAAGTTTGTATGGTGACATTTATCTCAGTAAAAGGTCGTGGGTCGCGAACGACTTTTTTGTAGAATAAAATGTTGTGAGTTGAGAGAGGCTAGTTACAGTTGTATGTTTAGTCTTAGCCTATTTAAAAGCGACTTTATTTTTTACAAAATTGTTTTCTAATTGTTTCGGGGATATTTGTTTTGTAAATTTTTTACTCAATTACATTTTTGAAACTTCAATTATAGTTACTGGGATTAATAAAATGTGTATTCATATATTATTCATTAAGAAAATCAGTTGGAGCCATGAGCAGGATTCGAACCTGCACCCTGGGTACACCCAAGCACACGCCTTACACCACTGCACCACAATACGCTAAAATGTAATATAAACCAGCGGTTTAACCTGTTTGCTTAGGAGTACGCAGGGTGCAGGTTCGAATCCTGCTCACGGCTCCAAATGATTTTCTCACTGATACATCAAATTAATGTGAATTCTTTGTGTATTAGTCATTATCAACACCTCCCCCCCCCCTCCTCCTCCCCCCCCTCCTCCTCCCCCCCCCCCCCCCCCCCCCTCTCCCCTCCCCTCCTCCTCCTCCCCCCCCTCCTCCTCCCCCCCTCCTCCTCCTCCCCCCCCTCCTCCTCCTCCTCCTCCCCCCCCCTCCTCCTCCTCTCGTGGGGTGGGAAGGTATCAACCCGGAGGAAAAAATAAAGGAAAATATAGTGAGAATACAAAAGTTCAATGGATTACTGTATGCTCTAATGGGAAGAAATTGTGGTAAATATGGGTTTCAGTTCAACCTCCTTGTGACACAAGGGGGGGGATGGGAGCTAATGACCCATTATATCTGTAGACACTCTTTTTGATTATACAATGAACAAACCATTCAGTTAAAATGTTCACCAGAAAAGCTAAGTTCACCAGAACAAATAAAAATAATAACTTAGAGATAAACAAAATGAAAGCCAAATATTAGTAAATATCACAACTTTCAAAATTTATGGAATATAAATTTTCTCTCAAGTCTATATACTTTGAGACAAGGGAGACAGACACAGCCAACTTGCGTCTGTCAGAGAGACAGAGACTTGCGTCTAACAGACACACACACCCGTCACTACTATAACACTATAGCCCTTGTGTACTTGGGTACACAAGGGTATAGAACTGTTCCTTCCAGTTTGTCCCTATGACCACTACCTGAGACACTGTGCCCATCTAAGACACATTAGAAATATATGTAGAAAAATAAACCTACATATTAGAGTTAGGAAAAAAAACTATTTGTCACATATAGTTGTTATTTTTAAAAGATATCCTCGTTTGCACCCGCACGATAACGTATCTTTTGGGGCTGGAAAATGTTAATCTTCCTGTTTGATAAGTTGTTCATTTGAGACAGTTAAGCAAGTCCCAGCTGTGTCTGGGTGCAATTGACAGGATGAACAAGTCAGCGGGTTTTCTTCCTATTTGGGAGTGTTGTACATGCTGCTATGGCGGTGTGTCCACTCACAGGATGAGTGGCGTTGCCCAATACTGTCACTATGGCGGTATGTCCACTCACAGGATGAGTGGTGCTGCCCAATACTGTCACTATGGCGGTGTGTTCACTCACAGGATGAGTGGCGCTGCCCAATACTGTCACTATGGCGGTGTGTTCACTCACAGGATGAGTGGCGCTGCCCAATACTGTCACTATGGCGGTGTGTTCACTCACAGGATGAGTGGCGCTGCCCAATACTGTCACTATGGCGGTGTGTTCACTCACAAGATGAGTGACGCTGCCCAATACTGTCACTATGGCGGTATGTCCACTCACAGGATGAGTGGCGCTGCCCAATACTGTCACTATGGCGGTGTGTTCACTCACAGGATGAGTGGCGCTGCCCAATACCGTCACTATGGCGGTGTGTTCACTCACAGGATGAGTGGCGCTGCCCAATACTGTCACTATGGCGGTGTGTTCACTCACAGGATGAGTGGCGCTGCCCAATACTGTCACTATGGCGGTATGTCCACTCATAGGATGAGTGGCGCTGCCCAATACTGTCACTATGGCCGGTGTGTCCACTCACAGGATGAGTGGCGCTGCCCAATACTGTCACTATGGCGGTGTGTCCACTCACTGGATGAGTGGCGCTGCCCAATACTGTCACTATGGCGGTGTGTCCACTCACAGGATGAGTGGCGCTGCCCAATACTGTCACTATGGCCGGTGTGTCCACTCACAGGATGAGTGGCGCTGCCCAATACTGACACTATGGCGGTGTGTCCACTCACAGGATGAGTGGCGCTGCCCAATACTGTCACTATGGCGGTGTGTTCACTCACAGGATGAGTGGCGCTGCCCAATACTGTCACTATGGCGGTGTGTTCACTCACAGGATGAGTGGCGCTGCCCAATACTGACACTATGGCGGTGTGTCCACTCACAGGATGAGTGGCGCTGCCCAATACTGTCACTATGGCGGTGTGTCCACTCACAGGATGAGTGGCGCTGCCCAATACTGTCACTATGGTGGTGTGTCCACTCACAGGATGAGTGGCGCTGCCCAATACTGTCACTATGGTGGTGTGTCCACTCACAGGATGAGTGGCGCTGCCCAATACTGTCACTATGGTGGTGTGTCCACTCACAGGATGAGTGGCGCTGCCCAATACTGTCACTATGGTGGTGTGTACACTCACAGGATGAGTGGCGCTCATGAAATCTATGAGTTTACTTGTTCCTGAATTGTTTTTGTAAATTCCGTGTTTGTTTTTAACGTTCTGTGGTCGCTTTGTTAAAATATTTTCTCAGCTCGGTCCGTTTTCATTTCAGTCTTTTTAATGTCTTTTGTTTTCAATTTTGTTATGATATCTGCTGGAGATTTTATACGTTCTTATTCACTTTTATGTCCATGAGGCTGGTGGTGATGGCTGGGTGGTGATGGCTGGGGGGTGAATGGCTGGGTGGTGATGGCTGGGGGGTGAATGGCTGGGTGGTGATGGCTGGGTGGTGATGGCTGGGGGGTGAATGGCTGGGTGGTGATGGCTGGGGGGTGAATGGCTGGGTGGTGATGGCTGGGTGGTGATGGCTGGGGGTGATGGCTGGGTGGTGATGGCTGGGTGGTGATGGCTGGGGGGTGAATGGCTGGGTGGTGATGGCTGGGTGGTGATGGCTGGGGGTGATGGCTGGGTGGTGATGGCTGGGTGGTGATGGCTGGGGGGTGATGGCTGGGTGGTGATGGCTGGGTGGTGATGGCTGGGTAGTGATGGCTGGGTGGTGATGGCTGGGGGGTGATGGCTGGGGGGTGATGGCTGGGGGTGATGGCTGGGTGGTGATTGGCTGGGGGGTGATTGGCTGGGGGGTGAATGGCTGGAGGTGAATGGCTGGGGTGAATGGCTGGGTGGTGAATGGCTGGGTGGTGAATGGCTGGGTGGTGAATGGCTGGGTGGTGAATGGCTGGGTGGTGAATGGCTGGGTGGTGAATGGCTGGGTGGTGAATGGCTGGGTGGTGAATGGCTGGGTGGTGAATGGCTGGGTGGTGAATGGCTGGAGGTGAATGGCTGGGTGGTGAATGGCTGGGTGGTGAATGGCTGGGTGGTGAATGGCTGGAGGTGAATGGCTGGAGGTGAATGGCTGGAGGTGAATGGCTGGAGGTGAATGGCTGGCGGTGAATGGCTGGCGGTGAATGGCTGGCGGTGAATGGCTGGCGGTGAATGGCTGGCGGTGAATGGCTGGCGGTGAATGGCTGGCGGTGAATGGCTGGGGGTGAATGGCTGGTGGTGAATGGCTGGAGGTGAATGGCTGGAGGTGAATGGCTGGAGGTGAATGGCTGGAGGTGAATGGCTGGAGGTGAATGGCTGGGGGTGATGGCTGGAGGTGATGGCTGGTGGTGATGGCTGGTGGTGATGGCTGGTGGTGATGGCTGGTGGTGATGGCTGGGAGTGAATAGTTAGTCTTCCACTCCCAAATGCTAGTGGTAGCCTATAACTTCCATTTCATCCTTACAAAGTTAAAAAATAAAACCTCCATAATTTTTCAAAGGAATTACTTCAATTTTATGGCTTAATGACTATTTTTTGTTATATTTCAGTTAAGCAACTAATCATATATTCCCTTAAAAATCATTTCAAATACCGAAAGACATTGAGGTAAATTCTTCATGAAAGAAAACGGAATTTCGGAGTGAGTGACGTCTGCTCCAAGGCATGACCATTACATTTTCTCACAGCTGTTTGTAAACCATTTCACTGATTGCTGTTTCTTATCTGTAGTAAGCTTCTTTTCTAACGTTTTCTCTCTCGTTTATCTGTTATCTGGTCTGTGGTCTCTTATACTTTTTTTGGCACAGATTTTAATGGGATATCTTTGAAAGTTCTTGCACTCGATATCCTAATGTTAATTGAGCTGCACTTGTTATATGTTCTCTGTGTTCTTGTTATATGTTCTCTGTGTTCTTTACTTGTTATATGTTCACCGTGTTATATATGTTATCTTTTACGTTGCTCGTATTTGTATTAAACATGTATGCTGTACATCTGGTTATCTAAGGTAATATTTGCACGTGTTAACAACCCGCTTGTTAGCTCGTCGCTGAATGGTAAGGTCGTTAGCAGGCCTCACATAAGGAAATATCCAAATGCTTCAGATTTTACTGTGTCCATCCTACTAAACGTATTCTGAGTTTACTTTATTCTTCCCACTAAACAAATTCAGTTTACATTTTTTCCCTCTCGTTAAACGTATTCTAAGTTTATCCCTCCCGCTAAGAATATTCAGAGTTGAATTTTTCCTCCCGCTAAAAGTATTCTTAGGAAAACAGAGCTGTGAAAAGTGTTGCTCTCAGCTGTACGGCTTGAAATTTTGGCGGGTTGAGGATCGGAATTGTTCTTAGTGGAGGATGGACGCACTAAAACATTTTTTTTGCTTAGATCCTTGGGAGAAAATGCTTGGTTACCTGTAGTGTCTTGGTCACCTGTAGTGTCTTGGTCACCTGTAGTGTCTTGGTCACCTGTAGTGTCTTGGTCACCTGTAGTGTCTTGGTTACCTGTAGTGTCTTGGTCACCTGTAGTGTCTTGGTCACCTGTAGTGTCTTGGTCACCTGTAGTGTCTTGGTCACCTGTAGTGTCTTGGTCACCTGTAGTGTCTTGGTCACCTGTAGTGTCTTGGTCACCTGTAGTGTCTTGGTCACCTGTAGTGTCTTGGTCACCTGTAGTGTCTTGGTCACCTGTAGTGTCTTGGTCACCTGTAGTGTCTTGGTCACCTGTAGTGTCTTGGTCACCTGTAGTGTCTTGGTTACCTGTAGTGTCTTGGTCACCTGTAGTGTCTTGGTCACCTGTAGTGTCTTGGTCACCTGTAGTGACTTGGTCACCTGTAGTGTCTTGGTCACCTGTAGTGTCTTGGTCACCTGTAGTGTCTTGGTCACCTGTAGTGTCTTGGTTACCTGTAGTGTCTTGGTCACCTGTAGTGTCTTGGTCACCTGTAGTGACTTGGTCACCTGTAGTGTCTTGGTCACCTGTAGTGTCTTGGTTACCTGTAGTGTCTTGGTCACCTGTAGTGTCTTGGTCACCTGTAGTGTCTTGGTCACCTGTAGTGTCTTGGTCACCTGTAGTGTCTTGGTCACCTGTAGAGTCTTGGTCACCTGTAGTGTCTTGGTCACCTGTAGTGTCTTGGTCACCTGTAGTGTCTTGGTCACCTGTAGAGTCTTGGTCACCTGTAGTGTCTTGGTCACCTGTAGTGTCTTGGTCACCTGTAGTGTCTTGGTTACCTGTAGTGTCTTGGTCACCTGTAGTGTCTTGGTCACCTGTAGTGTCTTGGTCACCTGTAGTGTCTTGGTCACCTGTAGAGTCTTGGTCACCTGTAGTGTCTTGGTCACCTGTAGTGTCTTGGTTACCTGTAGTGTCTTGGTCACCTGTAGTGTCTTGGTCACCTGTAGTGTCTTGGTCACCTGTAGTGTCTTGGTCACCTGTAGTGTCTTGGTCACCTGTAGTGTCTTGGTTACCTGTAGTGTCTTGGTCACCTGTAGTGTCTTGGTCACCTGTAGTGTCTTGGTCACCTGTAGTGTCTTGGTCACCTGTAGTGTCTTGGTTACCTGTAGTGTCTTGGTCACCTGTAGTGTCTTGGTTACCTGTAGTGTCTTGGTCACCTGTAGTGTCTTGGTCACCTGTAGTGACTTGGTCACCTGTAGTGTCTTGGTCATCTGTAGTGTCTTGGTCACCTGTAGTGTCTCGGTCACCTGTAGTGTCTCGGTCACCTGTAGTGTCTTGGTCATCTGTAGTGTCTTGGTCACCTGTAGTGTCTTGGTCACCTGTAGTGTCTTGGTCACCTGTAGTGTCTTGGTCATCTGTAGTGTCTTGGTCACCTGTAGTGTCTTGGTCACCTGTAGTGTCTCGGTCACCTGTAGTGTCTCGGTCACCTGTAGTGTCTTGGTCACCTGTAGTGTCTTGGTCACCTGTAGTGTCTTGGTCACCTGTAGTGTCTTGGTCACCTGTAGTGTCTTGGTCACCTGTAGTGTCTTGGTTACCTGTAGTGTCTTGGTCACCTGTAGTGTCTTGGTTACCTGTAGTGTCTTGGCTACTCCACCTCATGACTACCTGCAGTCAGTCATCTATTAGCAGTCACGAACAATCAGCAAAAATTATTGGCAAGTGAAAAACATCAAAATAATTATCACTAAATGGTCCCAAAATAACACGTCCACAATGATAACATTCAAGGTTTAATTATGTATTATTCCCCTCAACTGATATTTATGAACAGACACGGTAATCATATTACTCTTAGGCCTATCCCACAGCTTGAAAAGCAATATTAAAATTTTACAAGCATATGAACCCCAAACAATCGACTGGCTGCTGAGTTTACATACTTGCCAACTCCTTTATGTCGGGTAGTTTAGAGCGAGGCCTTTCAGTTGCGTTTAGCGGTAAATTAAAGGAGATAACTTAATGTGTAAGCGAGTAGTGGAGCAGTGTTCCAGAGGTCACTGGAGCTGGTGGTCGCAGTGTGTTGCCCAGCTGCTGGGGTACCACTTCTCAGCCAGCCATCACCGCCAGCCAACACCACCAGCCATCACCACCAGCCATCACCCCCAGCCATCACCACCAGCCATCACCACCAGCCATCACCACCAGCCATCACCACCAGCCGTCACCACCAGCCATCACCGCCTGCCAACACCACCAGCCATCACCGCCAGCCATCACCGCCAGCCATCACCGCCAGCCATCACCGCCAGCCATCACCCCCCAGCCATCACCACCAGCCATCACCCCCAGCCATCACCACCAGCCATCACCACCAGCCATCACCCCGAGCCATCACCACCAGCCATCACCACCAGCCATCACCACCAGCCATCACCCCCAGCCATCACCACCAGCCATCACCACCAGCCATTCAACACGTTCTCAATTTCCCATCCCATAAAAAATCCAACTATTTCATCTAACCAAAAACGTACAAATCCAACCAACCCACCTAACCTGTCGAGACCAATGGTCAAATAACCTCAATATTTCGCTGCATTAATCCGTACAAATCCGGTGCGTTTTTTAACGGATAACTCCGTACAAAATACGACGTAAGAGATGAGAGGTGGGGGATGATATGTACACAGTCCGCCTACCTATGGTCAAGCCACCACTGGTTAATGGTACATTAGCAGTCAACTCTATCTTTTTTACTGCGTCTTAATTTATTCCTCAGTATTTTTAGCACTTTGCTAGCCGCCGGGCAAGCATCAAACGATGGTACTGTGTTTGTACAAGCATTCACAAAAGCACAATTTGTTGGCCAGTTTTCCGTTTCGCAGACATTTGCTGACTGTGGGGGGCGAGAACTGTTGGGCTTTACTCTCATTTCACTTTGTACCAGTGACGTTCACTGCCACAGAAATACAGGAATAAAGATACATCAGTGACCTTCACTGCCCACTGAAGCACTGGGACACAACATTACTCGCCTTTGGCTTCAACCTCGTTTCTGGTTCCTTCCCGTCGTCCAACTTTTAGCCAGAAGAATTTTGAATGAATTTAAATGAATCGTTACGTTTGAATGTTTGAATTTCAATGAATCGTTACGTTTGAATGTTTGAATTTCAATGAATCGTTACGTTTGAATGTTTGAATTTCAATGAATCGTTACGTTTGAATGTTTGAATTTCAATGAATCGTTACGTTTGAATGTTTGAATTTCAATGAATCGTTACGTTTGAATTTGAATGAATCGTTACGTTTGAATTTGAATGAATCGTTACGTTTGAATTTGAATGAATCGTTACGTTTGAATTTGAATGAATCGTTACGTTTGAATTTGAATGAATCGTTACGTTCGAATTTGAATGAATCGTTACGTTCGAATTTGAATGAATCGTTACGTTTGAATTTGAATGAATCGTTACGTTCGAATTTGAATGAATCGTTACGTTTGAATGTTTGAATTTGAATGAATCGTTACGTTCGAATTTGAATGAATCGTTACGTTTGAATTTGAATGAATCGTTACGTTTGAATTTGAATGAATCGTTACGTTTGAATGTTTGAATTTGAATGAATCGTTACGAATCATCACTTTAAAATTGATGAACGTGTCTCTGGGGTCGGCCGCAGAATGGAATGAGTATATCGACGATTTGCCTATTTTAGGCAAGTCTTCCACCCCGTGCTTCTACTAATACAAATATTCTCCATCAAAACCTAAGCAACTAAAAAATGCCTAACTATTTCTATCGTATATAGAAATACGATATATAATATTAACTTGTATATGAGAACAAATCATGAATACACAGTATTTTAAAAATGATGGATGCGTCTGGGGAGGACGGCCGCCGCTTGAACGAGCTCGGCCTGAGGACGGGTTGGGGTCGGCCCCAGCTTGGACCAGCACACCCTGAAGACAAGTTGTCGTAATTCTAAGTGTTCCATGTCTCGCATGACACAACGTTTCCTGCAATTCCCTTTATTTCCATTCTCTAATATTTGAAGCTCTTTCTCTATACTTACAAGAGATCCATCAGACTGTGGTTTACCTTCGTCATCCTGAGATTTATGTTGTAAACTTAATTTATATCAACTTTGTAGCACGATAATGAAACTACATCATAAGAATTAAATTGAGAATAGAATTGTGGAACAGAAACTGCATTGAGACATTACAAATATTTTTTTTTCAGTGACAGAGTAGTTAACAGGTGGAATGCATTAGGCAGTGATGTGGTTGTTGTTGTTGTTGTTTAAGAATCGCTACCTGGAACCAAAAGTTCCAAGTAGCACGAGCTATGGTGAGCCCGTAGTGGACTTTTTTTTTTTTTTTAGTGATGTGGGGAGGGTTAACTCCATACACAGTTTCAAGTGTAGATATGATAGAGCCGACACTAGTTGACTGTCAGTTAAGAAGTGGGACCAAAGAGTTGAAGCTCAACTAGGTCAGTACATAATTAGGAATACATTCACACGTAAGCATACATACGTATGCAGGCATACATTCATACATACGTATGTATACATACAAACGTAATCATACATAAGCATATATATGCAAGCATAAATACATATGTATGCATACATTTATATATATGCATACATTCATATGAATGCATACGTGCATATGTTCATACATACGAATAGTCTTACATTTATACGTATGCATACGTACGTACATACGTATTGGCACGCATATATAAAGGCTATAATATATATACCTAATTATTTTTAGCACATTTTATGTATTCATGGGATCATAATGCAAACAACAGATCATCCAAAGATTTTCAAAATCCTCACAGTTGTTGAAATGTTCTTAGAAAATACTACAATTACTTCGTGTATTATTCTAGCGATCCCCTGGCGGCCGGCTCCAATTACCATTAATTGTAAATAGCAGCAAAAATCCGGAATTACATGGTATAGCTTTTTCCAGCGGCTGAGAGAGTTTATAATGATTATATTGTCGTTGGCTCATTAGAGCATGAAATGGCTTTAAGAGTAGGACATAACATTTGACCTTTTGTGTCCAGAGCCATGTCTCCAACACGTGGAACTTTAGTCCACAGTTAGCCACGATGGTCTAGTTATCATGATGATGATCTGATATATGCTGCCCTCCTCTCATCCTGTCCTTATGATTCCTGAAGTTAAGATCCTCCCAGCTCATTCTCATGTCATGCTCGTCCCAGCTGAGGCTCAGGTTATGGTTCAAGTTTCGGCCGTCCTCAATCCATATATGCTCATCCAAGCCCGTCCTCCAAACAAAGGCCAAAGTCCGTTCCATGCACCTGCCAAACCCGCTGTTTATGAATGAAAAACTGTTTAAACGCGACTCGCAACGAATGACGTCCGAACACTTCCGGAACATGTGCTTCATTGACGACTTTTTGTTCGAACCACAACGCTGTAAATGTTTCACCCACGTACTACAATTACAAATAATCGCCAACAGAACCTAAACACTTAACCTAACATACGCCTAACTATACATAGAATTTTCATGTATAATAATATTAATTTATATGAGAACAAACCAATTTTTAATACACAGTATGTTAAAATTTATGAATACGTCTCGGGAGGACGGCCGCTGCTTTAACCAGCCTAGTGTGAGGACGGGTTGAATCCAAACGGTGACCTATCCCGAAAGCACATTTGTCAAAATTTACAATATACATATATGTTCGCCATCGTTCAATACTATACTATTGAATTAGAAGAGTACGACAGCTTGCTGCAATCAATGTTAGAAAAAACCCTCAACCTTTCTCTCAGCGACTCACAGTGGAAACAAGCCTCCCTTCCTGTCAGACTCGGGGGCCTCGGCGTTCGCACAGCAACACAAATTGCTGTACCAACGTTCCTGTCCTCTTCAGTGGCGTCTGACAATCTGGTGAAGGAAATCCTACCCGATTACCTAGGTCAACAGGCAGGGGTACATGATCCCAGCTTTACAGACTGCACCACCAAATGGGTCTCTCTTGCAGGATTACCACCCCAACCTCCACCTTTTGAAGCTCACAAGCAATCCAGCTGGGACGGCCCCATTGTAAACCAAGCAGCTGCAACATGCCTAGAAACTACCAGCACGCGTCTCACACCACAGGCCCTCCGAACTGCTGTGGCCCTCCGCCTCGCTGCCCCAATCCACAATGAATACAGGTGTATTTGCGGCGAGACAGTGGCTGACACGTACGGCGGGCATGGCTTTCTCTGCCAAAGGACAGGAGGATGGCATGCAAGACACGGGGAGGTAAATGACATTATTAAGAGCCTTACCACAGCTGGTTGTCCAGCAGAGAGAGAACCTCATTACCTCATGCCCCGTAACTCTGACGAGCCTGTCGGTCGCCCAGACGGGATCACAGTGAACCCCTGGAAGAATGGTAGACAGTTGGTGTGTGACTACACACGTGTTTCAACTTTAGCCAACACCTATGTTGCCTTCAGTGTTGCACATCCAGGAGGTGCTGCCAATCACCAAGAAGCAGCCAAGTCTCGTAAATATAGAGATCTTGATCACCTCAACAATTTTGTCCCCATTGCCTCAGACACACTTGGTGCCTCTTGAGGTTATCTTGAGATGACTTCGGAGTTTA